GGCCTTCGGGTTGAGTGCTTTAAGACCAGTAAACCCTAAACCCTAAACCCTAAACCCTCATGAGCCAAGTAGCAGGGCCAAGAGCAAGGGGTCATCCAACTCAGCAAAGTCACCTGTTGGTTTACGGTTTAGGGCTTGTACGGTTTAGAGTCTTTAAGGCTTTCTAGGGCTTCTAGGGCTTGTGGGGCTTCCAGGGATTCTAGGGTTTCTAGCGTTTCTAGGGCTTCTAGGGCTTCTGGGGTTGCAAAGGGGTCTAGAAAGCGTACCACTAAACGCGAAACCCTAAACCCCAGACCCTAAACCCTATTGGAACCACACAAATACTCCAGGGCTCGTGCGCGAGTTCTGAACCCTCCATCCCTTTTTGGGTGTCCGATCCTTCTCTCAACACATGTTACAGCAGATGTCGTGTTACAAGCATTCGCGATCTCAGACACGAGCCCTAAAACCAAAGCCTGAAAGAGTAAAACCCTCTAGCCCCAACATTCGCAAGCCCTAGCCCCCTAAACTTTAAGTTCTCAAGCGCTAGCCTAAACCCTAAACCCTAAACCCTGAACCCTCAACCCTAAACCTTAAAACCCTTAAATCTCCAAGCACGAAGCCGCCGAGTCTGACGGGCAAGATGTTGCCACCTCCAGGCACATGCCTTCCGTTCGCTTCGCAGAGGTCTCTCAGCCTCAGATTATCCCAGGCACCAGTTTAGAGCTTAGGAATTGAGGGTTTAGGTTGGGGGTTTAGGTTTAGATCCTAGGAATTGAGGGTTTAGGTTGAGGGTTTTAGGTTTAGAGTCAGGAATTGAGGGTTTAGGTTTAAGGTTTCGGGACCAGGGGGTTAAGCTCCGTAAAGGGAGCTTGACTGTAGCTTTGCACCGCATCTCCTCAGACTGGGAAGGTGGGTTTAGGGTTTAGTTTGACATGGTGCATCACGACTCACTAGGATGAAAATTTAAGCAGGAAGAATCCTGTCCTCCTAAGCCCTAATCCCCTAACACCTGAACCCCATAAACCCCTAAAACCTAAACCTGAACCTAAACCCTAAGCCCTAAGCCCTAAACCCTAAGCCCTGGACCCTGAACCGCCAGGCTGGCATCAAGTGAAACACATGCGTGAGCCCGAAACCCAGTCAAAAAAACCCCAAACCCACAGCCCCAAAGCCCCAAAACCCCCCAAACCCCAACGCCCCAAAATCCCCCAAAACCCCCCAAAAACCCCAAGTCCCCACATCCCCAAACCCCTAAAATACCCTAAGCCCCCAAAACCCCCCCCCAAAACCCCTCAAACACCCTAAACCCTAAACCCGAAACCCTAAACCCTAAACCCCAAACCCTAAACCCTAAACCCTAAACCCTAAACCCTGCTTCTCTGGCATCCCAGCAGCCCGGAGCTGAGTGCAGCCGCCGCAGCACCCCGGTTGCTGGGCAGCGAAGCTGTCGCGAGAGAACAAGCATAGGGTTTAGGGTTTAGGGTTTAGGGTTTAGGGTTTAGGGTTTAGGGTTTAGGGTTTAGGGTGTAGGGCGTAGGGTGTAGGGTTGAGGGTTGACGATTCAGGGTTTGCAGGGTTTGGGGTTGAGGGTTGAGCCCAGAGGGTTTAGGGTTTGTGGGTCAAAGGGGAACCCAGGAACAGAGTCAATAGTTAGGAAGCCGGGTTGAGGACCTCGTCTATTAGAGTATATTCTCCTTACTACAGGAACTGTAAGCCTCTGTGAGATGTATAGGGCCGAAAGTTGAGGAATCTAGGGTTCACCCATGTGATCTCCGTTAACTACACTGAGCTTAAGCCAAGCCACACAAGCTTAAGGTCCGACACCTCCCCCAGCACCCAACCTTCAACCCTCAACCCATGATTTTTTGAGTGCAAAGGAAACGTTCCTCGCATTTGTGTTTCAATAGGGTAGACAAAGGGAATCCACCCAAACCCTCAACCCTCAACCCTAAACCCCAAACCTCCCAGGAGCGGATGTCGGACAAAGGCAGTGATCTGCGCCTTTTCGGCCCCCACCCCCCAGGGTGGTATAGGGTTAAGGGTTTCGAGGATTTAGGACCTTAGTAGGGTTTAGGGTTTAGGGCTAGGGTTTAGGGTTTAGGGCTAGGGTTTAGGGTTTAGGGCTAGGGTTTGAGCTTATGTAGAGTTGGGGGCTTATGGAGTTTAAGGCTTCGGGACTGAGCCCGTGGAAGTTCCCAACCCAGCGCCGTGAATCCCTTAAAACCGAAAAAACGTATGAAACCTCACCCCTATTGTAAGCCATAATCCCTTAACTCCAGTAAAAAAAAACCAGAGCCCCCCAAACGATTAAGAGCCCTCAAAGCCCTTAAAGCCCTGTGGCAAAACCTCAAGAGCCCGAAAACCTAGACCCTAAACCCTAAGCCCTAAGCCCTAAGCCCTGAACCCTAAACCCTAAACCCTAAACTCAGGTCCTAGGCCGCCCCCCCTACGTTGGGGGGCGGCGCTTAAGCCCTTTGACCTCGATGGCACAAGCCGACCCAGGTCGCTGGGTCCGTAGCGCCCACGATGGGCCCCGTACCGGAACACGTTCTCCTCTTGGGACCAGTACTGGTCCCTTCTAAAAAAGTAAATACCCTAAACTCCGCCCCCTTGACCCTGGGGGTCGCTGACCTTTTTTGGGGGGGGTACGCCCCGGGCCCCTAGGCCAGGAGGACCCGGACCCCTCGCCGCAGCGTGCTCAGGCTCAAAAATCAGTTCCCCTTCTGGGCCTCCTGACCCCCTGACCCTAGTTTTTTGGGGCGCTTGGCCCTTCCAGGCCCCTGCCTGGCCCTGCCGCCCTGGGCTGGCAGCCTGTCCTCTTACCTTCGAGACCTTGCTGGCACCCTTGACTCTCGGATTCAACCAACATCAAAGTTTTGAAAAGTGGACTGTTGTCTGAGTTTAGGCCTAAACCCTAAAAGGAATAGGTTTGGGTGGCTTTGCCGCCTTGGACGGCGTGGGGTGGGAGAAAAGTGTTAGATGGCCCTCCACAATCGGGCCAAAGCTGCTCTTCAGCACCTCACGAAGCTTTCGAGCTTGTTCCGAAACCTAACCTTCACAGCATCTACTCCCTATCACAGCAAACCCTAAACCCTAAAAACTAAACCCTAAAAACTAAACCCTAAAAACTAAACCCTAAACCCTAAACCCTAAACCCTAAACCCTAAACCCTAAACCCTAAACCCTAAACCCTAAACCCTAAACCCTAAACCCTAAACCCTAAACCCTAAACCCTAAACCCTAAACCCTAAACCCTAAACCCTAAACCCTAACCACTAAACCCTAAACCCTAAACCCTAAACCCTAAACCCTAAACCCTAAACCCTAAACCCTAAACCCTAAACCCTAAACCCTAAACCCTAAACCCTAAACCCTAAACCCTAAACCCTAACCCGATCCAGGCCTCGATGCGGGCCACGTCCTCAGCCAGCGTCTCCGGCAGACGCCGGAGGAGGAGCTCTGCGGCTCCCTGGCTAGGGCTCGCTGGGGTTTAGGGTTTAGGGTTTAGGGCTTAGGGTTTAGGGTTTAGGGTTTAGGGTTTAGGGTTTAGGGTTTAGGGTTTAGGGTTTAGGGTTTGGGTTCACTGGGGGTTAGGGTTCGAACTTGAAGTGCGTTTAGGGTTTAGGGTTTGGGTTTTGGGGTTTAGGCTGTAGGGCTTAGGGGTGTAAAGCTTAGCTAGGGTGACGGGCTGAAGTTTGAGTTTCAGACCCTAAACCATATACATCCTAAACCCTAGACCAACACCCTGAATCTCAAACCCTAAACCCTAAACCCTAACCCCCCCGCAGCCTCAAGTCATGTAAAATCCACGACCCATGCTGGCCCGCGCACCTCCGGAACGCGGGAGTCAGCTCGGAAGCTGTCGTCTCGATCTTGCTCCTTTTCAGGTTTAGGGTTTAGTGTTTAGAGTTTCGGATTTAGGGTTTCGGATTTAGGGTTTAGGGTTTGGGGTTTAGGGTTTCGGGTTTAGGTTGCTTCAAAGCCGTTCTGGTTGTCGGGTATCAGGTTTATCTCTGTCAACACCCTAAAGGCCAAATCTCCAAGCCCTAAACCGTCCAGTAATTTAATTCGGGTTTAGGTCCCAGGGTACTGGAGTCTAAATCATGGCCCTCCACCTACTATAGACCCCTTGAATCTGGGTTGCATTTAGAGAAAGCGGAACATTAGCATCCAAGACTAACTGCCGAAAACCCTTAACTCCGCACTCGGAATCACGAAGCTCTGGGCTCTAAACCCTACACCCCACCGCTATACAAACCCCTAAACCCGAAACTGCTAAACCCTAAACCCCCCATACCCCGAAACTCCCGCAAACCCTAAACCCTAAACCCTAAACCCTAAACCCTAAACCCTAAACCCTAAACCCTAAACCCCAAACCCTAGCGAAGCCGCGTAAGAGGGTCCTTGGCCATCCGCAGGTGCTCCTCCGCGTCGGGGCTCCTCAGCTGCCAGTACTACTGGTGCCGAGGGGTTTAGTTTAGGGTTTAGGGTTTAGGGCTTAGGGTTTAGGGTTTGGGGTTTAGGGTTTAGGGCGAAGTTGAGGGCTTCGGGTTTGAGGTTTAGGGTTTGGGGTTGCGGAGTCAGGGTTAGGGTTTTGGCGTTTAGGATTTGGGGTAAGGGTTTTGGGGTCTGGGGCTTGGGGCTTGGGCTTTGAAGGTCTTAGGCTCTCCAGGGCTTCAGGAGCATTAGGGTCCACTTCTTGGTGCTGAAGGGGTAGTGGAGACAAATGATCCTTTGGGAAAAGCTGGCGGCTTTCACCTTTTCTCACTGCATAGACAGGTATGCTCAAGAGCGCTCTGTAAGCCAAATGTAGCGGATAAAATACAGTCAACATCTATGCCATCAATACACTCTCATTCATGTCCAGGCTATACATAGGTGAGATTGAGACTCAACCTTCTCTCTGGCATGAATGAGCGGAAAATCGCTGTGCGTCTTGACTCGATCGCACGAAACGTGCATGCGTTGCTTAGGAATCGCATGACTGACACACACACACACACTTAGTGTCGTGTAGATCACCCTAGTTGCTTCTCTGACTGCCTCTCGATTTGATACTGACAGGCTGTCAATACCTTGATGAGGAAGTCGGGGCGCATACTCTTCGTCAAGCAATCAGCGATCATGGTGGCCGTAGAGGTCCACACAACTTGGTCACCTGCACCGGGAAAGACCTCGGTACTGCGGGTGCCATCGTCTTCGAACAACGCCTGACGCAACGCGTTCAGTTCTATTTGGAGACGTTTGTCTTGGACACGTGAAGGGACCTCCACGTTGAGGTGCTCAGACAGACTACGACAGTCTGTGAGCATCATGTGCGGAACCGTCCTTCTGGATCGGTCGTACCAATCAGCTCCTGGACTGCCTTGTCCATACAATTCGGCCAACAGAGCTCGAATTTGGTCACCTGACTCTTGCGCACTCTGTAGCGCGTACGTCTCGGCTTGGAGAGTTGCTCTGCATACTCTCTTGATTGTCGTTGATCCAAAGCTGATCAAGGCAACATCGAATACGCAATTGCCTGGCGTGGTCAATTGCTTCCTTGGAACTAGGAAGTGAATACGTCCCTGCTGGGATCGTAAACCTGGCTCCCCGGCAAAACTGGCATCTGAGGCGGTTAAAACTCCCAGATCCATAAAGTCGAAAGGACCATTTTTGTACCGGATGCAGAAATCTTTTCCTGCAAGAGCAATTTCAAGGCATTTGTTAGCCTCCTTAAGGATAGCTACGGTGGCTCCCTTAACCTTGGACTGCAAATACGAAACTTTGTACAGGATATCCGGCCTGCCTTGTCTGGCTATCCAGCTCAGACTACCCACTACGCTACGCAGTTGACGTTCTTCACCTTGCGTGATCGGGTCCGAAGATTGTCGGCCCTTCGCTATGTCGATATACGTAGTACGGCGTGTGTTATCGCTAACGTCGATAACTATGTCCTTGCCGGATTGGTCAAATTGCTTCCCGCAAAATCGGAGTCTCTTGATCTCCTTTCTGCCGATTTCGAACCTTTCTTAGAGTCGATTCATGATTTCATCACCAGTGGGGGTTGATGCCCAAAGAAAATCGTCGACATGAGTGGTAAGTAAGAGATCCACTTTACTACCCGTGGTGTGGTAGTAAAACGCGGGAAAAATGCGCGACGCATTAAGACCTACGTCTTATGCGTCTTTGTCTACGCGCTTCCAAAACCCTCTCCCACTGTCTTGGAGTCCATAGACAGGAACGCGAACTATAACAACATCGCTTCCGGGTCTACGCCCGGGAGTCCCCCTCGGGGTTGTCGCATCAGCACTATGCGATCTATTGGGAGAGCCTGGAAGTAGGCATTTTTGATATCGGAGCCCTGCACAGGTACTCCTTCTGACGCTGCGAATGCGCACACCATGGCGTGGGTTTCAATATCCGATGCGGGCGAATCGGTCCTCACTCCACACTCGCCTTCAAAGTTGCCACAAGCAACCATGCGGGACTAGAATTCTGGATCGAATGATTCCAGGTGCTGTTCGTGGATGTTTTTGACAGTGTCAACCCACTTAGAGGGCAATGGAACATGTCCCTCATCCAATAAGTCCTTTAGGATCTTACCGGTTACTGGAATCGCCGCTTGGAATGATTCATACTTCATCCATTCCTTCTTTCTAGATTCATCGATCTTGCGCTGGACAGCGGGTGAACAGTCATAGTAGTTGAGGCTGCCTGGAAGGGACTTGGCTTCTTCCTTTGAAATGTTTGCCGCGCGATTCGCCATAAAGGCTATGAACTTGGCCCGCGGTCGGGCTTGAGTCGCACTCAGCGCCGTGTTTTGGTCGCTGACAATTCTAGGTGGCGTCGCTTCCGCATCCCTTACGCGCTGGAAGTGCTGCCGCAGCTGCTCAGGCAAATCGTCCTGTACATCATACGACGGCCTCCGACTTCCACCTGGAGTCCTCTCTTGCTCAGGCTCGGCGACGCTAACCCGACGAGACCTAGAACTCTGAGAGGTTCCTAAACCACTAGATCCTCTGATCCTTGGTCCATTCGAACTATTGGGACCTCGGTTCCTAACCTTAGGTGGTGATCTAGAGCGCGGGTGCTCCTCGTCTTCCTCTAGGATAGATGGCATGGGTCCATCACTGGGGCCCTCTTCAAGTGTCACATTTGGCGCTGGATCATGATCCCCGGTTGGTGCTGGTTCACGATAGTCGTCGAACCCTTGTTGATCCTTAACAATTTCCTCAGGGATAATTGCATTCCCATGAAGGATATCAAAGGCCAAAGCCTCTGCGTCCGTTGCTGGTCGCAGGTTTTGCGCAGACGCCAAAACTGGAATGTTTTCGCAAAGCAACCAAACCGATTCCTTGCTACGCCCTTCAAAACCAATAACCCTAGACGCAGGAGACCACGATGTCTTCCCAGCCTTGGTGCGCCTAAAGGTTACTACGTCGCCCACCTGGTAATCTCCAGGAATCGCTCTCGCGTTGCGCAAAAGAGCGCGCTGAACTCGTTTAGAGGTGTCCAGCTGGACGAATGCTTTCTTCGCCTCAGCACGAACCATGTGTTGGAGCGCGAAAGCGGACTCGGGATCGAGAGAGTCCTGAATGGCTCCTAGATCTGCGTGCCCATCCTCATTAAGGATAGATGGTAGTTCACGTGGCGCTCGACCCAGCACCCATTGAGCTGGCGAGTAGCCTCCCTGTCTGAGTAGGCTGTTCTTTGTCAGGCAAGTCTCATCAAGTACTTGCTGCATTTCCAACCAACCCCGCGGTTGAGTTTGGCTGATGACCTTGCGGGCCATTCCTTTGATGATCCCGCCGTGTCTCTCCACTCGGCCTATGGCTTCGGGTGTTTCGAGCGGCGCGTGTGTAACATCCACTCCGTGCGCGGCCATGTACCTTGCTAGGACGCCGCGGTTGTGCAATCCGCGATCACATTTTAGTGCTTTGGGGTGACCAGCCCAAGTGATCCACCTCCTCTGTATGGCCTCGAGGCACTTTGCGCTTGACGCTTGACCGGGACCTTGTCGAACAATTTCGGCTAATTGGAAACATGTCCCTAAACAGATCATGTTTAGGACCTGAAACTTGGTTCCTGTAGCGTCTGTGACTTCTAGAAGGTCAATACCGAGAGTGTGATTGAAAACGTACTTTTCGGGCAACGACGTGCTGTGCGCGCTACGTCTTGGCGCGTTCTCCTCGCACTCATTGCAGCGCAACAAACGCAGTCCATCTAGATACTGCGGGTCGACCTTCGCTGCTCTGAGAAGGTTTAAGAGTACCTTTCTCGGCGCATGCCCGAATTGTCGATGCAAATGCCTGATGGCAACTCTCACGCGCTGGGGTAACTTCCTCCAGCCGGCTCGGCGTTCGGCCTCGCCTTTAGGCAAACCTGGCACTTGAACTTCGTCTAGTTCAAGGTCCTCTTGAATGGCCTCTTCTCCTGGGTCCATTCTTGCTACATCATCTTCGTTTTCAACGGAATCGAAGGTTGGAAACTCGCTATCATCAATCTCGCCATCGTCCCATACTGGGTACGATGTTGCCACAAGTGAAATTGCAGCATGGTCATTGGCATAATTGATCAACCAACCCAAAAAGTCACTAGAAAACAAATCCCAAAAACTCCTGGGTCCCATGGTTGGATAGCCTTCACCGGTCCATCCCTCAAATGCATCTGCTATTTCCGAATTATTGGACACATAGCTCACATCACCATGTCCTATGTCTGGGTACATGGGAACAGAGAAATACCCCCAACGTTCAGTGTCGGCAACGTCAGCTATCAGGTAGTCTGACCCTGAACACTCACAGTGGGCTATGACCTCGTCCACAACTTCACTATGATTGAGTCCCGGTTCCTGGTACTCAATAGCTACAACCACTAAACTGGGGCTAACCTCTTGAAGGGTCCTACGAATCCCTTCGGCCTCCCACGGCTTCATCGCGTCCAATCCGACGTCGATGACACGGATGCCGGACTCCTGAAAGGCACGAGGCTTCGAGGTAATTACTAGTGTGTGAGCAGGTCCCTTCACGGGTTCGGACACGGTGTTGCAAAGATATCTTAAGGCCTTATCATGGTCCCTAAGGGCTTGGAGACCTTGGTGCACGGTTCTCCTACGGGCCTTGGACAGGACTGCAAGGTTGCATGCTGGGGTGAAGTACTTGGCTCCAGTGGGAATACTGACACCCGACCCCGAACTCCCTGAAGAGGCAGAGGAGTCCGAGGAAACCGACCTAGTTCGCTTTCTACGGTCTGGTGCAGGAGGAGGCGTAGGTGGTTTACGGGCAATGTGGGCACTTGGCTCTTCACTATCTAAACTCTCCACAACTGGAAGTTGGGAACCCTGCAGCGGACAGTCCATGTACCCTCGGCGCGGTCGCACGTCTCTGTTTCTAGGGTCTCGGCTAGGATCCCTACTGTGGCCACGACTGTGCTGACGTGAGTAGTATCCTTTATCGCCCGTTCCGGGTCGATAGTTTGGATTGTACGTGCGCCTGCCTTCGGCACTGGCGCTGGGACGACGCAAACTTTGCCCATATGGCCTGGCCTCGCCTCTATAGGGCGAGACCCGAGGTAAGCCGCCGGTGTGGTCGGCCGCCCTCTGCTTCTGACTTCGGGCGAAAATGATGAAGCTGTCGCCGTCCTCCAGTTCTGCGGCATCGATGGTGAGCGCCGCGCGCATGTCCACATCCCTCTGGATTATGGAAAACGTGCGCTCCGCACCGCGGAACAGGAAGACGCCTTTGGTGAAGTCGTCTAAGGCGTTGTCCCACCGGTGCACAAACGAGTGGTCTTTGTGAGCCACCCAGAAACGGATGTTGTGCTTCAGGGTGCATTGCATCCCTTGCTCTTTGGTGGCCGGACCGATCCACCCGTTACTGTTGTACCTCGCCGGTTTCGTCCTCCTAAGGATGGACGCGACCTTTGTAAGGTCGGGGAAGCTAAGGTTGGCTGCCCATGGCCTATTGTGGTCCAAGGGTCCTTCCATGCCATCTACCACGGGGAGTGGCTCCACCGGCGTCTGCGTAGACCCTCCGCCAGCGCCAGGCTCGACGGACGCCTCGCCATCCCTAGGGGTATGACCTGGCGTTGACGCAGGTGTCTCCAACTCTCTGGCCTCACGCTCCTCCTCGTCGGGCTCCTCCTTGATGCTCGGTCCTGCTGACGTAGAGCGGGGGCCACTTCGACCAGGTCTCATGGATCCCGATCTCTCTCGGCCTCTGCCCTCTGCGATCGTCTTTTGATCGATCGTCTCTGGATCGGCTCCTAGACTCGTCCTTGGAGTCATACGACTCAGAACGGGATCTAGGTCTCCGTTCGTATCGCTTGACCACCTCCAACTCCTTCTCGGCAGCGATGGCTCGAGAAAGCCAACTTTCGCCAGAACTCTTTGCCTCTCGAAGCTCAGTTTCAAGAGCAACCAGTCTGACTTGGAGGTGTTCATTTGCTGTTTCCTGCCGGATGCAGCGCTCTCTCCAGTACCCCACGTCATTCTCCATCTCTGCAGGCGGTGCCTTCGGAACGATAGACGTGGCAGATACTGCGGGAGCCTTGCTGGTAGTGGATGCCTTGCTGGAAGACGCCGTAGCGGTCGTCTCCGTCGTCGCCGTACCAACCACTGGCGCGTAGTCCAACCTTGCCGACACCCTTGAGCTCTCTTCCGACTTCACCTCTGGCGTGAGAGCCATCGCCGGCGGTGATGGTGGCGATGGAACTGTCGGAGACTTCGACGGCGGCGGCAACGGCGGTTGCCTTGGTGCTGCCGGCGGCGGCGGTGGCGCTGGTTTGTTGCTCGGTGGCCTAATAGGTCCACCTTGCATTGGCACCGGCAAAGATCCACTTACCCAGACACCTGGATGCAAGGCGCTGGGGGCCTTTGCCCTAACAGGAGGCACCGAACCGGTTGCCCCTCCACGTTGGCCGGCATCTGCTCGGCCTGCTGGTGGCGCACTGCGCCCACGGTTCTGGTGACGATTCGCCTCGTCGAAGCCCTCGAGCGCATCCAAGAGGGAGTTGGCATGCTTTCCGAGGTTCACCAGACCAGGTTTGGAGAATTCACCGCAGTCGCTGCAGCCACCTCCACACGCCATGCCTTTCCAACTAGTGATGGCGTTCAGGTGAACGAGAAGATGGTCCTCGATCCCTTTTGCCAAAAGACACGCCGCTAGGGTCGTGCCAAAGGCAACTGACCTGTGCCGATTGCTGGTGCAAAATGCTACCAACGCAACTTTTTTGCCGCGGTTGTAGTGGTCTAACAGATCCACCAGGTTTTTTCGCAGCAAGCGTTGTCCTGCCTCGGCGTTGACCAGGCCCTTGATGATTTCTGGGTGCCTACCGATGTGGTCATTCCAAGCACCATTTGCAGGGTCGCTTAGATCTCTGAGGTCCTGGACGATCAGCGTGTAACCATCCCGGAACACCTGAGGTACTCGATCGGCCCAATGGATCGGATCCCTCGCCTTTTTCCCCCACCAGCCGTCTTCCTTGTTCATGTAGTACCTGATCCCGCAGGACAAGATGACTATCGGCGGTGGAGTTGTGAACGTTTTGGGCCGAACTTGGTCCCAGAGCATTCCACTTTCCAAGTACTCGTGGTAGTCGACCTCCCGTGGCACTGCCATGGCTTTGGATTGGCCCGAAAGGTCCAACCCAGTGCAAGCAGGATGGCCCGATGGGTCCAACCCGTCACAACTACCAACAAGCTCAGGGGGCGACTTACGCTGTGGAGTCTGTGAAGTCTGTGAAGGTTGAAGTTTGCATTCTCTTACACACTTCGGGAACTCATTTCCTCTAAGGGTAAATGATGACAGGTTAACTAGTAGTAAACCTGTATCCTTGCACCGAGCAAGACGAAGCTCGTGCTTCTCCCCGTCTGAATCAGTAGGCCAGCAGCAACAGGAGCGCATGTCCTTAACCAGGCCTAAAGTGCTCTGAGCAAACAGGCTTATCAAAAGAGGATTGTGGGCATCGGTGTCTACCTCGTGGGAGTCCAGCACGCCCGCCAGGGTCCTACCTTGATCTCCCAGCTCAAGACAGAAAGGCAGCTTACGCTTACCCAGGGTCCTGGAGGTCAGCCCAGGTCCTACTGTGGCACGTGGAATTACACCCTTCATCCAAAGCTCCCCACACATCAGGTTCATCGGGGCTCCAGAGGTCAACCATGGGTAAATTGTCTAGATGAACGATGTCAGTGGAGGCTGCGTGGGCATGCCTAGGACCACTAGAACCTTTACCACCCAGATTCCCGTGGCTCCTCTGCAAACTCGTCACAGCGTCGCTCGGGTATCCACTTCGAGCTCGTGGTTGCTGTTCCTCTGTGGGCAGGACAGGAACTAAACCACTACTTGAGGAGGGTTCGGGTTCTGGCTTGCTATCCCTTGAGGAAACCGAACTCTCGCTACTCCAAATCTCGGTTAAGGCCGCCCTACGGGTCGGGGTGCACTCGAGATAAGGATCGTAGGGGTCGTAATCAGGGAATGCTAGGGAATCATCGATAGCCTCGTTAAGGTCTATCTCGGGCAATTGGCCTAAACGGGTCCAACCTTGCTCCGGCCCTACAGGATCCGGAACTTGCGGTGACTCAGGACGAGCCTGCTCAATGTCGTCCAACGTCAGGCTCAGGTTGATGCCTGTGGACGGTGCAGGTGCTGGGTCAGCCCATTGTGCTTCAAGAATGGCTATACCTAATCGGTCATGCCCCATAAGGAAAGCATCCTCCCAGGCTACACAATGATCCTGCCAATTAACACCTTTAACCAGTCTCTCCCATCTAGAAAGAACTCTTTCTTCCTTTGTAAGGTCCGTTGGGTCTATGATTCCAACATGGCCAACGCGGGACCAGGAATCCGGACTGTCACCAGTGGGCTCTAAGGCATCAACGATTGCCTCGCTAAGACGATTGTGTAAAACAGACGGGGTGACGCGCATCCCCATCTCTATCATGGTGGTCACAGAGTCATTGAAGACACCCATGATGAGTTCCACATCGTCGTGCTCAAGGTCCCTTGACTCACCGGCAATCTGTGTGTTATGCATCACAGATAAAGAGTCTACAGTGGCATTGAGCATACGATTTGCCGCGTCTCGACGTCGGCGCTGGAAGTCAGCCGGAACTTCATCTATAAACGTTCCGCATTGTTTGCAAAACGTGCGAGACACTGATCGCGACGAGCCACGTCGATCAATGATCTCGTGCGGGCATGTCTCTGGGTCGTTGGTGTATGAGACCTCTCTGGGTTCTCGCGTGACCTTTCCGCAGTCTCTACAGGTACTGCGCAGCCAGTTCATGGTAGATCCTGCGTGCGTAAAATCCTTGCATCCTTGGACGCAAGGCTCCAATGGTGGGTTCGGCGGTACCTTCTTTCCGCCCTTGTTCTTGACACGCGGTACATAGGTTCCTTCAGGGATACCTATGCTGGCTCGGGTGACAACCTCGTCGCCCTCGATCACATAGTAGCGATTGAACCAAGCTAAAAAGTCTTGGAGTTGGCGACTAGGGTTCACCTGAACCTGTGCCCATTGAACAACAGCTGGAAGCCGGGCAATCTCGCTGTAAGTCTTCCCCTTGTACTGACCAAGGTAAAACTTACGATCTCCGCCTTCCATTTCCATCGGAATAGGCATTGGCGCCGCTGACGCTGCAGCTGCACTTCGGCTACAGCTGCGCTTTTGCTTGCGGCAGCGCGAACGACAAAGCCAGAGTGGTCCTTGTCTGGCGCTTCCGAGGGAATGACCAGACCTTCCTCGCTGGATAGGACCGTTACGGCGACGTGTGCTGCCTTGCCTGCGGCCTTGCCTGCAGGGAACTTGCACTCAGGGTCACCAGCCCAATGGCCGATACCACCACATCTCATGCATCGCGACTTTGCCTTAAGGGCTTTGAGTTTGTCCCTTCTTTGCTCCAACGTAAGGTGACTTCGGACCACGTTACCCTTGCCTTTGCCCTTGGATCTGTTCTTGCCCTTGCCCTTGGCCTTGCCGAAGGCTGCGTTGGCTGCCAAGGACAACTGGATGGCGTGTCCCACCTCGGGAGAATCCTCGAGGAACTGCTCCATGGCGTTGAGGGCGATGGCCTCGTCCTCATCCAGCTCATATTCCTCGAACTCTTCTTCCTCGGCAGGGGGTTCTTCCTCCCAGCTCTCCTCAGCAACACAGGCTTCTTGGGCAAAGTAAGAGTCCTCTTCTGGGTACTCCTCTTCCTGCTCTAACTCGCCTGCGTCTTCGTCGATCGCAGGGAAGGCCTTGCGGGTAAAACCTTTACCCTTAGACCTATTAGATCCGTAAGATCTAGGACCATAACCCTTGCCAGTGTTACGGTAAGGCTGGGGGTTGCTGCCTCCCAGCGCGCGGCCTTCGCGCAGATGAACACCTGTGTAGTGCTGCACCAAGGTGTTTGCGATCTGCTCGAACTTCTTCGGGTCGGCTGTGCAAGCCTTGACGACCAGGGCTTCTTGTCTAGATAGCCCAGAGAGCTCTAATAGTAGCTCTACGCGCATCGGCTCAGAGAGCTCGATGCTGGCATCCAGGGTTTTCAGGAGATTCCACCACCTCCGTCTACGGGAGATGTAACTCAGCATGCTTTCCCCTGCCTGCCTGGACAGGGTCCCTAACCTCTGTCCCGCCCGGAACAACTCTCGGGCTTCCTCTGTCGCGCGGGGGAACACTACCTCCCGCATTCGTTCGATGAAGCTTCGAAGTCCCCCTGGAGCAGTTAGGGCATCTACACCGATGTCCCTCGCGAGTTCGAAGGCTTCGTCTCTGAGGCCTTCGAGAACACGGTGTACCATTTCTGTTCTTGCCTTCGTGCTCGAGGGGAGTCCTTCAAGGTACTCGAACGAAATGGGCTTCGCGGATTTGCCCGACTTCTTCGACCTCCGACTTCCCGCGCTGAGCTGGGAAAGCTTGTCGAAGTACTCGTCTGCTCCGCCTGGATGCAGACCTCCTTCTTCTTGAGGGCCTTCATGCTCCTCATCGGCTGTGTCCGCGGCCTCTGGCTCTCGGACGTTGTGGTCTGGGTCAACTTCTCCCTCCAGACCTGCTTCGGAGTCTCCTCGGGTACTCCTGGCTTGGGACGCTTTCGACCGAATAGCGTCTTCGTAGAGTTTCAGGCGCAGTTCCGTCCTGAACTTCCAGTCGTAGAACGTCGAGGGATCCCCATTGTAGATGTAGGACCCGGACTTCGTCTCGGCCATATGGCTCGAGCTTGCGCTGCCCCTAACATAGCGGAGACCTGCAACGGACATGCCGGAGGAAAAAGCTCAGGGGAGCAGTGGCGGCTCCGATGGGACGAAAGCACGGCCAAGGAAGGCCGGCAACCAAAGGGGTGCCACAGAGGGAAAGGCACAGGGCCAAGGTCAAACAGAGGAGTGTTTGAGAGAAAGAAAGGGAGTGCAAAGCAAGAGGGTCGAACTTACGGGCTCGCCCAGGCCCGGACCAACACAGGCTAAAGCCACGCGTCGCAGGTGGCTATGCCTACCTGCTCCGCTACCAGTTTGGGAAAAGCTGGCGGCTTTCACCTTTTCTCACTGCATAGACAGGTATGCTCAAGAGCGCTCTGTAAGCCAAATGTAGCGGATAAAATACAGTCAACATCTATGCCATCAATACACTCTCATTCATGTCCAGGCTATACATAGGTGAGATTGAGAGATCCCTATTCAGTTCCCAATGCCCCGCATCGCATGTTCATTCCCACTTCCCCAAAAGTCACAAGTAGTAAGAAGACGTCCGCTCTTCCTCTCGCAGGCATGTTTCGGGGGGTTGGGGACGAGTTCAAGTTGCAAGAGGGTTTAGGGGTTGAGAACCTAGGAACCCTAACTTACTAAACCCTATAAACCCTAGAAACCCTATAAACCCTGTAAACCCTATGTGCGCCTGCATTCCGCATAATCGACCCCCCCCCCCCCCCCCCCCAAATGGTATCCCCCCCCTGCCCGTTAACCCTAAAAACACCACGGACCCGGAAGGAGAGGGAAAGCCACCTAAACCCCAAACCCTGAACCCTAAGCCCTGAAACCTAAACCCACCACTGACCACAGGGGGAGAAGGGTAAACCCGAAACCTTAACCTCTGTAACCCTGAACCGTAAACCCAGCACGAACCACAGGGGGGAGAGGGAGACCATAAACCTACCATTACTCTAAACTCTAAACCCACCGCAATGGACCAAGGGGGTCAGAGTGAAAATCCTGAACTCTACAGCCTAACCTTAAACCCTGAAACTAAACCCATGAACCACAGACCATGAACCATTGTGGGGGGGGGGGGGGGGGGAAACCCCAAAACCCACCATGAACCACAGGAAGGGGGGCGGGGGGGGATGGGGGGGGGGGATGGGGGGGGGGTTGTACGGCTATGCTGGCTCATATACTAAACCCTGAAACCCTAAACCCTAAACTTAAACCCTGAACCCTGAACCCTGAACCCTAAACCCTAAACCCTAAACCCTAAACCCTAAACCCTAAACCCTAAACCCTAAACCCTAAACCCTGAACCCTAAACCCTCTAGATTCTTAGAAGCTTGTGCAGGGCTTGGGGCTGAAGGTTCCCAAGGTCCAGGGCCTACTTCGTGACCAACTTAGGGTCCAGGTTAGGGTTTAGGGTTTAGGGTTTAGGGTTTAGGGTTTAGGGTTTAGGGTTTAGGGTTTAGGGTTTTAGGGTTTTGGGATTTCGGGTACAGGGATTTGGGGTTTAGGCTTAGGCGTAGGGATTTTAGGGTTTGCGCTTTAAAAGGCTCAGGGATGTCCAAGTGTAGTTTTTCGGGTGGAGTTGGGACTTGTAGGGTATTCCAGGACGGGCTATTATACCTTATAAACCCTAAAAAAGGCCCTTTATAGGGTTGATTATGGTGATTATAGGGCCTAATAGCCCATCCTGGTTGGCATTGTTGGGCGAGCGTGTCGAGAGTGGTTTTGGCGACCCTAATTAGTGTGGCTGCTGGCGGAGCAGCAGCCTGAGCTGGGACTTGCTGGCGGGCCCAGCAGCTTCTTTTGTGGTGGTGGCTCCCTGGCCCGCACCTGCTGCAGCAGTGCCGGTGACCCGAGAAGGCCAGCCTGTCACAGCCCGGCGTCACGCAAGCTGTGGCCATAGCCGAGCGTCTGCAGCTACCGACTAACGGACGTCCCTGCGAAGCAGAAACAGGAGCAGGCATGAGGAGCCCAGTGCTTGGGCAAGATCTGCCATAGAACTCGAAGCCTCGCAGAGAGGGCTGGACTGTCCCGAAGCCACATGGTGTTTTTGTAAGGTTTAGGGTTCCTACACCCTAAACCCTAACCTTACCTTTTCCCCGCAAACGCTTGCGAAACGGGTAGGAAAAACCCTAAACCCTAAACCCTAAACCAAAGTGCTTGACTCTTTCAAGATGCTGTTTCTCTAAGTGCCAATCCTGGGCGAATAGTGCCAATTTGACCCTGGAGGCTAGACCCCAGATTAATTCTGCAGTGAACCTCCACTTCTACATCCGAGCTCCTTCGTACGTCCTTTTATGGCTTGGTAGACCCAGTAACCATATTATCACCAGGGTTGGTTACTTTCTAAGGGAACCTTGAACCAAAAAAAGGGGTAAGGTTACCACTGGGCTACCCTACCAAGCTTTACACGCCATGCCCGATAAATCCAGGGACTAAAGGAGGGACCCTTATGCCTTTTGGATTCTACTTAGGTATGCCGGGAGGTTTTTTTTCTAGGGGGTTCAGAGGGGAATAAGATTAAGGGTCTTTTCTCGGGGCTCCCTCGTTCTACCCCTTAAATGCAAGCTTGCCAGCCACGTCTCCGAACAGGCTGCTCCCGCTCGCGCTTGATTTCCTGGCGCAGCTCATCCATCTCCTCAGGAAAGCTAGGTCTAGGGGTCTAGGGTCAAGGGTCTAGGGTTTAGGGCTAGTTCCCTCATGTCTAGGGAACTGTACCCTTGGGTTTGGAGGCCCCTTCTTAAGGATCCTCAAGGTAGAAAGAGGGCCATATTCGGAGCATATTAAAGGGAACCTTTAGGGGTACAACCTCAGGGGTACGAGTCTTAATCCCTTGGTCATAACCTAAAAAAAGAAGCCCTAAGCCCTAAGCCCTAAACCCTAAACAAGCATACAGCCTCGACCACAGATCCTCACTGATGGCCGTGTTTCCTTGCCCGGACATACTACACCGCGCAGCCCCAGAAACTCTCAAAACCAAACAAACCACATAGCTAGGGACATTCCCCCTTATACTAACAGTCCTTCACAGGGATTATAGGAACCCCTATTAGAATCTTTATGAAGGACTGTTAACTAGTACAAGAGGGAACATCCCAACCTGTAGCTCTAAACCTCAAGCCCGGCCCTATAACCTGAAGCCTAAAGCCTGCATACCCTGACTGAAGGCCAAAGCCCTGAAAACTCCTAAACCTTAACCCCTAAGCCCGTAAAACAAAAAACAGAAAGCCCTAAACCACGAAATCCCTAAACCGTAAGCCCTAAACCTTATATACGTACCTAAAGGCTAAGCTCACGAATCCCCTTTCAAGGCTTAAAGCACTCAACCAAAGTGCCAAAATACTCCCTAAGACCCTAAACCAAATTCTAACCCCTCCAAAGCACCAGGCCCTACATGCCCTGCACGCTCCCCCCCCCCCCTCCGCCCCCACCCCCCCCCTTCCACCCCTCCCCCGCCTCCCTCCCCTCAAAAAAAGACAACACCGAAAGCCTCAATCTTCAACAACATTAAGGACGCCAAGAACCCTAAATCCCTTAAGAGAAAGTCAGACGAAGGCTCCAAAACCTTGAACCCTAAAGTCCCAAACCCCCAGAAGGCCCCAACCCCTCACCTGCCTTTATACATAAATTTATTTAGACCCCAAAACTCCTGTCTCTGAAGCACCGTAATTTCCCTAAATCCCTTGAGACCCTGCGCCACTTAAGCCCTCAAAACGACCAAATCACCTAAAACCCAGAAATCTCCCTAAACCCTAAGCCCTAAGCCCTAAGCCCTAAACCCCTTCACCCCTAAACCTTATCCCCCCTGCGCCCTATCACCCCTACACCCTAAACCCTAAACCCTAAACCCTAAACTCAAAACCCTAAACCCTAAACCCTTCACCCCTATACTCTATCACCCCTAAACCTTAAACCCTAAACCCTAAACCCTAAACCCCTAAACCCCTAAACCCCTAAACCCCTAAACCCCTAAACCCCCTAAACCCCCTAAACCCTAACCCTGAACCCTAAACCCTAAACCCCTAAACCGATAAACCCCCTAAACCCCCTAAACCCCCTAAACCCCCTAAACCCCCTAAACCCTAAACCCTAACCCTAAACCCTAAACCCTAAACCCTAAACCCTAAACCCTAAACCCTAAACCCTAGCCCTAAACCCTAAACCCCCTCAACCCCTAAACCCGCAATGACCCCTGAAGACCCTGCGGCTCCTGCTGCCGCCTCTTTGCCTCCAGCGACCGACGCTCTTCGACCTGAAGCTGCTCAAGGGGATTAAGGGTTTAGGGTTTAGGGCTAGGGTTTAGGGTTTAGGGTTTAGGGTTTAGGGTTTAGGGTTTAGGGTTTAGGGCTAGGGTTTAGGGTTTAGGGTTTAGGGTTTAGGGTTTAGGGTTTAGGGTTTAGGGTTAAGAGTTCAGGGTTTAGGGTTTAGGGTTTAGGGTTTAGGGTTTAGGGTTTAGGGTTTAGGGTTTAGGGTTTAGGGTTTAGGGTGTAGGGGTTTGAGGTCTTGAGGGTTTAACGGGGTTTAAAGGGGGTTTAAGGAGTTCAAAGGTTTAGGGTTTCGGGTCCGCGCTTTTGTTCTGCATTTTGTGGATGGTGTAGGGCTTAGGGTTAGGGGCTTGGGGTTTAAGGGCTTGAGGGTTTAGAGTTTTGTCATATGTTTTTGTGAAGGGTTGAAGGGTTTAGGAGGGCTTTTATCGGCTTGTTGCCTGTATCGCTGTTTTAGGTTTAGGGGTTGGTGCTGATGGTTCGGTTCTGTGGGTTGTTTTGCTGTTGGCGAGGGTGGGGGGTGGGGGGGACACGTGTTTTCTGTTCCTGATTTGAGTGGTGTTTGGGTGTGGGTTTCCGGATTTTCCTTTCAGGCTTCTCCAGGACTGAGCCAGGGGAGATCTTCCCTCAACTCTGAAACCCCTCCACTTCACCTGCTGGGAGCATAAGCCCCGAGCCTATCCTCAACCCCGACCAACACTACCTTAAACTCCTGGACCCTCAAAACCCTAAACAGTAAACCCTAAACCCTAAACCCTAAACCCTAAACCCCTAAAACCCTAAACCCTAAACCCTAAAACCCTAACCTGAACCCTACCTAAACCACAAGCCTCGAGCCCCTGAAGCCCTGCGTCTCCGCCAAGCCCCAAAACCCTGTGAACCTCAACTCAAACCAGCAAGTGTTGACGAACGACTAGCCACAAATTAGACACCCTATACCCAGACGAAACCCGAAAACCCGTACACTGAAACCCCAAGCCCTATAAGCCTAAACCCTAAACCTAAACCCTAAAATGCTCGTCTTTCTTTCTGAAGGGATTCCAGGTTGATCTGCCTCTTGGACAACAATGCTCACAGCCGTCTCCTCCTTTATGTCACTGCGTGTCTTCGCCGAACCATCAAGCATCACACCAAAGGGACCCTGGCAAAAAAAAACTTCCAGAAAGTTGTCTAAGAGGACGCTGGGCGAAGCCGATATTCGATGTGTGCCCTTTCTGGCTCTGCACGATGAGGTACTGAAGAAGGAAGAATGGAACTGCAATGCACTCTGTGCATTCGGGCAGACCCCTGCTCTGCACCGAGGGGCCTTCTGGCCGCAAGATGTGATCCAAGCTGTTGCCGAAGAGTTTGTGAAAGTTGAACCCGGAGGCCCCCCCCCCCCCCCTAAACCCCCGAAACCCTAAACCCTAAACCCTAAACCCTAAACCCTAAACCCCCGAAACCCTAAACCCTAAACCCTAAACCCTAAACCCTAAACCCCGAAACCCTAAACCCTAAACCCTAAATGCCGTGGACACCCCGCAATCGTTTGGTTGCCCAGTGGCCAGTGCCTCGGCGACCTGAGGGTCTGCAAAGCGGTCTGCTTCGTTTGAGTTCTTAGGGTTTAGGGTTTAGGGTTTAGGGTTTAGGGTTTAGGGTTTAGGGTTTAGGGTTTAGGGTTTAGGGTTTAGGGTAGTTACGTAGTTAACATGTTCCCAAAGTCTGGGCCCTTAAAAGGCCCATACATCAGAACCCGTTTAAACGAGGCTAGGGACCATGTTCCGGGCCCATGAAAAAGCTGTCAGAGTCGAAGAGTCGAGGTGTTTCATGTTTTGCTGCTAGGGTTTTAGGGCGTTTATGAGGCTCAGGAGGGTTTAGGGTTTCGGGGCGGATCGGACTTTCTGCTACCTGGAATCGCCCCTTTTTGTTTCAGGGTCTAAGCTGGCTATAGGAGCTACGGAGCTCAAAGAGGCCAAGGGACTTTGGAACATTCACTCTTGCGAGTTAGGGTTCAGGCTTACGGAAAAGTATTCCCAATCCCAATCCCCCCGCGCTTAAAACCTCAAACATTCCCGAAACCCTAAGCCCTCAACCCCAAACCCTAAGCCCTCAACCCCAAACCCTGAACCCTGAACCCTGAACCCTAAACCCTAACCCCGAACCTAACCCTAAACCCTAGACCCCAAACCCCTCTCGGGCCTGCTTCAGGTGCGAGGCGTGCCCGCCCACTGCGGCCCACATGGCGCTCCATTCCGTTACCTCCTTTGCTTATGGTTTAGGGCTTAGGGCTTAGGGCTTAGGGTTTAGGGTTTAGGGGTTTCGGTTGCAGGCTCCAGGGGATGTAGGGAGTTGAGGGTGTTTAGAGTGTGGCTTTTCATTTGGGGTTTCGGGATTCAGAGGGCTTCGGGGTATTCGAGTTTTCGGAGCTATGCTTGAGGGGCATGTGGATGGCTGCTCAGGTGAAGCAGATCTTCCAACATCCCTTACCTGCTTAGGTTGCTGAGGTTGAGGGATTTAAGATTTAGGGTTTAGAGAGGGCTGTTCATGGTTGAAGACATGTCCAATGTGCCCACAAGCTCGAGGAACATCTCTTCACCACTCAGAACCCTGAACCCTGCATGACTCAAAACCCCGAACCCGCATCCATCCCGATAAAACTCATGAAACCCTATAAACCTCACGACACCTGAGCCCTATGAAGCGTCTAGAGTTTAGGGTCTAAGAGCTTCGGGGATTTTTGCGGCTTGCGGGGTTTCGGGTTTAGGGTTTAGGGTTTTAAGGTTTAGGGTTTGAAGGGCTTTGGATTCTTCACCCTTTGGAGCTTGCTAGGGTTGGGAACTTTGAGGGAAAATCAATGGCACCAGCATCCCAAACCCTAAACCCCAGACCCTGAACCCCGGACCCCCAGCCCTACAGCCCTGAACCCTGAACCCCAAACCCTAAAATTTCGGGCTTGAGGGTTTAGGGCTTAGGGACCCTAAACCCTTAACCCTCAACCCAAAGCCCTGCACAGCATCTCCGTCTCTTGATCCCAAGGGGCTTCGCTGGGAAGGAAGCGGGGCTGAACGATGGCCCGCGCCATCTCCTTGCGCGGCGAAGCTTCAGGGATGCTGGGGTTTCGGGTTGCTAGGTTTTCGGGTTTAGGTAGGGTTTAGGGTTTAGGGTTTAGGGGGGCTTGGGGTTTAGGGTCTAGGGGGGTTAAGGGTTACTAGGGTTTAGGGTTTAGTCAGTCTTTCAGGTTTAGGGTTGCGTCAAGCCCAACAGAAGCCCTTCCACAAGAATGTTACTTAGTTCCCTCAAGATCAAAGCCCCCCCCCCCCCCCCAAAAAAAAAGGGGGGGGAAGCAATAGGCCAATTTCTCAAGTCAAATCTGAAAAGCCTTGATCCCTCTCCAAGAAATGCCAGAGGAACCCCGACCCTAAATCTGTGAGGCTTTAGTGTTGCCCTCCTGAAGCCCTCAAACAGAGCCTCCAACCGTTCACCTATAAATCCCCAAACACCCCAACACCCTCTACCCACTCAAGTTCCTAAACCTCACAACCCTGTAAAACCTAACCTCAATCCTATACCCTACACTCCGAATCCTTGTGACACTGATAACCAAAGCCCTCTAACCCGGAACCCCGAGATTGCAAATCACTCAAACCCCAAGATGCTCTCTCGCTGCACCCTAAACCTCTCATCAGGGCTGATCCTAGACCCTAAACCCTAAACCCTAAATCGGCCCTAAACCCTAAACCCTAAATGCCAAAAAACCCTCTAACCCTAATCCCAGAACCCTGAAGTCCAAGCCCCTATCCTGACCTCAGACCACTCGTCTGCTGTCAGGACAGGCACCTGGGCCGGCGACGGGGTTCAGGGTTTAGGGTTTAGGGCTTAGGGTTTAGGGTTTAGGGCTTAGGGGGCTTAGAGGGCTTATAGGGCTTATAGACCTCCATCCCTCGACATCGAAGCCTAGTCAAAGGAAAAGACTTGGTCTGCGCAGCCATGTTTCCAGTCATAAACTTGAGTCACCCACTCGTAGGTTGAGCATTTGAGGTTTTTGATAACTTCTCGAATTTTATGAAGAGAGAAATCTCACGTGTATGTTGCTCTGCTTACTGAAAGGTAATCTTATCCTTTGCGAAATGACCCCTCATGTATGGATATCTCAAGTTTATGTTGCTCTGCTTATTGGCGAGTTACCTCTCCATGTTCTGGTGGTGATGGGGAGGTGCGCGGTTACAACCCAAAGCATATGCACTGTGTGCCTGCACACAAGACCAACAATCACACTCACAGAGGACCTGTAGCCGACATCCCTCTCCACTTTCACACAATAACCGAAAACAAAAAATGTGATCTTATGCTTGCTCTTCTCACGCCCACGTCCTGAGACACGTTCAAATTAAACATCCCATTGAAAATCTCAAAATAATTTGAAAATATCCAAATATATTCTGAGGTATCCAAAAATTGAATATTTCAATTGGAAGTATCTCTATATTTTTCAGAATTCTATCCATAAAAAAAAATTGGCTTTTCAAAATAAATATCCCATTGAAAATCTCAAAATAACTTGAAAATGCCCAAATATATTCTGAGGTATCCAAAGGTTCATTGGATCCTTGCAAAACCAAAAGCTCGTGAATATTTCAAATAGAAATCTCGGTATTTTTCAGAATTCTATCCATAATAAAAATGTTTGGCTTTCAAATTAAATATCCCCTTGAAATTCTCAAAATACATTGAAATAATACAAAATCAAATTTTAATTCTCTATATTTATCAGAATTCTATCCACAATAAAAGGTTTGGTTTTCAAATTAAATATCCCACTGAAAACCTCAAAATAATTTCAAAATATCCAATTATATTCTGAGATATCCAAAGATTCATTGAATCCTTGCAAATTCTAAAACTCATGAGCATTTGAACTCGAATTCTTGATATTTTTCAGAATTCTATCCATAGTAAAAAATTTTGGTTTTTCAAATTAGATATTCCATTGAAAACCTCAAAATAAATAGAAAAGATCCAAATATATTGTGGGATATCCAAAGATTCATTGAATCCTTGTAAAACACCAAAAGTTCGTGAAAATTTCAGATAGACTTCTCGATATTTTTCAGAATTCTATCCAAATAAAAATTTTTGGTTTTCAAATTAAAATGAGTTGAAACGATGCAGAATCAAAAGAATTCTATCCATGAAGAAAAAGTTTTGACTTCCAAATTAAATATCCCATTGAAAACCTCAAAATAAATTGAACATAATTTCTGAAAAATCCCAAATTTTCAAGTTAGATATCCCATTGAAAATCTTAAAATAAATGATTCGTTCAAAATATTTCGTTCAAAATGTTATGGGGTTTCAAAAATCCTGTCTATATCAGTCTTCCCCCCGTCCCGCCGCACCACCCTCCGCCCCACGCCGACCCTAAAAACCGAATATCTAAAACAAAAAAACGTTTCGCTCAAAACGTTTCGCCCAAAACTTTCGCTCAAAACGTTTCGCTCAAAACTTTCGCTCAAAACTTTCGCTCAAAACGTTTCGCTCAAAACTTTCGCTCAAAACGTTATTGGGACCCAAACCCTATACAATTTCTATAAACCCAAAAAACCCTAAACCCCAAACCCTAAACCCTAAACCCAAAACCCTAAACCCTAAATTAAGCCTAACTTCCAAACCTTCAAGATCACTTTGGGGGCGCCACCCCTGCGGCGCTGGTTCGGATCGCCCGGAGCGCATCGTAGCTCTGCAGCAGCACCCGCAGCTTGCCGGCACCTGGACCCTAAACCCTAAACCCGAAACCCTAAACTAAAACCCCAAACCCTAGCGTTTAGGTTTTTTGGGTTCAGGGCTGAGGATAGGTTGGAGTTCAGCCCGAAACACCCTGACTACAAGGCGTTTTATAGTGGAAAGGGTCAAAGTCACAGTGCGACACCAGAAGATTCTTAAGATGCAAGCTCAAAACGAGTATGAACTATTTCCACGTGCTCGTGGGCTCCACAGAAGGCTGGACGCGGGTGAAGAAGCGACCCGAGCTTTACACCTACCAGGCTCTCCCTGCAAGATGTCCATTCATCTTTCCCTGAACCCGGTGGAGTAACCAGATTTTAGTAAGGGTACCCTTTTTGGGGGGCTGGTTACTACATAAGGGAACCTTAGAGCCAAAAAAGGGCAACAAAGGGTACCACTGGCCTACCAAGACCCTAAACAACAAACCCTAAACCCTTCAATGACTCTCCAAGCGATGCCATCACCAGGGACCTCTTCCTTATGCTTGCGCAAGACATCTGTGGTCTCGCCCTCCACGGCTTTCCATGACTTTGCGCGGACGACATTTGTGCTTGTGGTTTAGGGCGGCTGACCTTGACGTTCACAAAGGAGACCACCGCATTCTCCGCGGTTTAGGGCTTGTAGAAGGTTATGAGTACCTCAGGTTGGGCGATACAGGCAGTAACGCCACTCATAAATCTACTCGCTGACCGTTCAATCCAAAACCCGATATAAACTCCCAAACTCCTAAACCCTATAAAGCCCGTATTATGGAGGCACGAACCCCTGAACCCGAAATCCTTTTGGGGTTCGCTAGACCCAAAACCCTAACTTACAACCCCACTTCTGATAAATAAGCATGGCCCCAAAAAGCCCACTTCCACAGGAGGCGCCTGCGTCGCCGGGCGACGGGGGGTCCAAGCAGTTCCGGAGGGCGCCTGTTCACTTCGGGGCTTACAGGGTTCAAAGTTTAGGCTTGAGGGTTCGTGTTTTGGGTTTGTAGGGTTTATCGGGTTTACAGGGTGTATAAGGTTTAGGGTTCATGAGGGGTTGGGAATTTTTAAGGAGCGATGAGACTAGGAGTCGTGGTGCGCATTTCGGGGCATAAGCCTGTCGGGACCCGAACTCATAGACCCGAGAACCCGTACTACAGCTCTTTGGGGTTTATACCGTTTAGGGTTTAGTTTAGGGCTCATAGGGTTTATACTGAGGGTTGAGGGCTAGGCCTTTAAGCTCTTTGAACCCCCCCCCCCCCACCAACCCACCACACCCCCCCCCCCCCCCCCCCCCCCCCCCCCCACCCCACCCCCCCCCCCACCCCCCACCTACCACCCCCAAACCCCACACACCACCCCCACTACACCCCCCCTCCACCCGCACCCCCCCCCCCCCCACCTCCCACCCCCCACCCCACCCAACCCCCCCCCACCCCCCCCCACCAATCCCCCACAACCCACCCCCCCCCCCCCCCCACCCCCCCCCCCCCCCCCCCCCCACACCACCCCACCCACCCCCCCCCCACCACTGACCCCCCCCCAACCCCCCCCCCCCCCACCCCCCCCCACCCCCCCCCCAACCCCCCCCACCCCCCCCCACCCCCCCCACCCCCCCCCCCCACCCACCCCCCACCCCCCCCCCCCCCCAAAAAAAACAAAAAAAAAAAAACCCTAAACCCAAAACCCTAAGCCCTCAACCCTAAACCCTAAACCCATTCGGTAGCCTTCTGCCGCATCGGCCCGGAGAAGGACTAGCACCTCGCGATGGGCTGTCAGATTGGTGCGCCTTGGGTTTCAGGACTTCGGGTTGATACTGTTTACATGTGGGGTTTAGGGTTTAGGGTTTAGGGTTTAGGGTTTAGGGTGTAGGCTTTAGGCCTTAGGCTTGCTGAAGAGTTTATAGGGTTTATTGAGAAGGTTTGGGGTGGTTCTACAATCGGTGCTTATGTGAAAGTAGGGCTTTTTCAGGGCTTCTTCTTTGGGATTTCCTCAGAGTTTGTGGGAGTTTGCAGGCGTCTTGTGGTGGAGGCTTCTACCACAGGGCTTTTTTTATGGCTTGGTGGATGCTGCGGAGGATTTACCCAACCCAAAATCCACACCCTTGGCCCGCCAAAATCTGTGCACACATATGATGCGTGACACAGGATACATATAATGTTATTCAAGAGTGTATAATATGTAGTATATATTATATATAACATGTGAACAACCCGCAAGCCTGAAAGAAGCCTCATCGCAATGGCATATCGACAACGCACTCCCACAGGGAACCCGACGCCCTAATTTTGAGATGTTGGAGGTTCAGAGCATTATGGCTTTCCTGGAACCCTAAACCCTGAACCCTAAACCCTAACCCCCAAACCCTAAACATAATCATCATAATCACAATAATCATCATAATAAAGATCATAATAAGAGCAAAAGGAAAACAGGTGGGGGTCTGTCGATCTTGCGGTTAGATGGGTAACGGAACAAGGAGCTTAACCCTAAACCCTAAACCCTAAACCCTAAACCCTAAACCCTAAACCCTAAACCCTAAACCCTAGAAGCCCAGCACTCTTCAGCAGAAGCTGCCAGATCGCCCTGTGAAGTGACCGCAGCGCGACGTCCGGCAGTGAGGAGGCAACTCATGGCCAGATGTGGGCCTGCGGTAATCTCTTTTAGGGTTTAGGGTTTAGGGTTTAGGGTTTCTCTTACCCTAATGATGTTTCCCTTAAGTATATTCCGAAGATGGGCCGTTTATCTTAGGGTAGATACATCTCTTAGGGACTAAAGGAGGGCCCCTTATAAGGGACCTTCGCGGTTATTTCAGGGTTCTTTTACGGTTTAGGGTTTAGGTCTTACCCTAATGATGTTTCCCTAAGAGGTTTCCCTTAAGTATACTCCGAAGTTGGGTATGGGGCCTTGAAAGGGTGCCCCTCATATACCCCTTATACGACCTATACAAATAAAGGGCCCATACATCGGAACCCTTTCAAGGAGGTTAGGGACCATATTAATGGCCCATGGAACTATACCCGTAGAGTAATCATGGGATTTGACCTTGGACCCCTAAGGTTGTATTCTTGGGTTTGGGCGGGAGTAGATTAAGGGCCCTAAACCCTACACCCTAAACCCTAAACCCCGCCTATAGTTCCAAGATTGACTCCCAACAAAGGGCCTCAGGGCTTGGGGGAGTGTACGTCCTAAACCCTGAACCCCTAAACCCTAAAGCCTGAAGCCCTACCTTAAAACCAGAAAGGCTGAGGGTCCGGGACTTAGGGTTTAGGGTTTGCAGGGTTGAGGGTTTACGGTATAGGGTTTGTAGGGCTTGTAGGGTTGGTGGGGTTTGGGGTTCAGAATTTAGGGTTTGGAGCTAGTGTGTAGGGTTAGGAGTCCAGACTTAAACCTTACACCCTAGATCCTAAATCCGCCCTAAACCCTAGAAAGCTTAGGGTTTAAGGCTGGAAGGTCCATGCTTCCGGTAAAACCGCTCGTAGAGGACGGACCAGTGCGAACTTGGGTCCTCCTCGCGTAGCTCCCGCCAGCGGTAGACAGGGATGGTTCCGAGGAACATCTCATCATCTGCCTCATCCTCACGTGGTTCTTCCACGGCTTCCGCCAAGTCATTGTAGCTTGATGGGAGGAGAGTCCCAGCCATGGCGTCAGCCAGGTACCCTGTAAAGCTTAAAGAAAGCACAACGTACCTCACAAAGCATCTGACTTCCCTGAGGATCTAGGGGATTCGGGCTTGGGCTTTAGAGAAGCAATCTTAGGGTTCAGGGATTATTTGCGGTTTGGGGTTTAGGGATTTAGGGCTTATAATCAAGTGCAATTGGTAGTCCCGAGAAACCTGTTACAACAGCTATAAGGCCAGAGGGTTCTGAACTTCAGCAACTTACAGAACTCTGGCGGCAGAGAAATCAGCAACGCTTTGGAGCCCCTCACCCGAAACCTCGCACCCTAAACCCTAAACCCTAAACCCTCCTACACCCTACACCCTAGACCCTAAACCCTAAACCCAAAAAACACCCCAAGCCCTAAAGGCGTGGGTGACGATGGCTGCCTTGCCGTGCACCCGCATCGCAAAGGAAGGCAAGCCTTTCAATAGCCGAAGGGACTAAACCTAAACCCATGGGGTCCTTAAGGGAATAGGGTTTAGGGTTTAGGGTTTAGGGTTTAGGGTTTAGGGTTTAGGGTTTAGGGTTTAGGGTTTAGGGTGTAGGGTGTAGGGTGTAGGGTTTAGGGTTGGGATGTTCCCCCTAATACTATCATTCCTGAATAGGGATTGTGATAGGGGGTACTATAGTTCATCCCTATTAAGGCTTCACCATTGAGGACTGTTAGTAGAAGGGGGAACATCCTAAAAGGGGTGTTCACGGGAGGGTATGCAACTTGAGGCTCCCTAATACTCCCTAAGCCCTACACCAAAAACCCTAAACCCTGAACCCTAAACTCTAAACCCTGAGGCTCCGCAAGCTTCCTGACGTTCCCTAGTCACCTACCCCCTTGACCTCCCCTAAACCCTAAACCCTAAACCCTAAACCCTAAACCCTAAACCCTAAACCCCAAACCCCAAACCCTAAACCCTAAACCCTAAACCCTTCCTTAAAAACCCTGTAATACACTCAACCCGAATTCTGGGCAACAAAAACCAAAAGCCCAACCCCTTAAGTAGCTTAGGCTCCAAGGAGTTCCCCTCCCCCCAACAAAAACAGCAAAACAGGGCTAAGGACGTAGGGTTCAGGGTTTAGGGTTTAGACTTAGCCTTCAGCTTCACAACCCTCATGAACCCTAAAAAACGCTAGAAAACCCTGAGGTTTTGCAACTCTGCACCCTGAACCCTGGCAACCTTTGATAGAGCCCGGCCTCTAACCCAAAAGTAGTAAGGTGCGCAGGCCATTCTCAGGCATATTTTGGAGCTTGGGTTACCCTCACAGAACTCCTTATGATCCCCAAGCAGCCCTCAACCCTAGAAACCCTAAACAACAGAAGCACTAAAAAACCCGAAACCAAAAAACCCTAAAGCTGGAAACCATGAACAGCAACCCAAAACCCAAGAAACCCTAAACCCTGGAAACCCTAGAAATCCCAGAAATGCCAGAAACCCCAAACATCCTAAAGAACCGTAAGCCCCGACCCTAAACCCCACAAACCCTAAACCCTAAACCCGAAACCCTAAACCCGAAACCCTAAACCCCAGGTCCCAGAGGCAGACAAGTGACGCGGCGCTCGGTCGGTTGGGGGCATTCCGGGGCAGGGCCGCGAGGACGCTGGAGGCTGCGGCCACCAGCCTGGGGATCCCAAGGTGGACTCGGGGTTTAGGGTTTAGGGTTTAGGGTTTAGGGATTAGGGTTTAGGGTTTAGGGTTTAGGGTTTAGGGTTTAGGGTTTAGGGTTCCCCCGGCTCCAGGTCGGGCCCCAGTATATGACCCTTAGGGTTTATATTTTGGGAGGTTTATATGATGTGGGGTTTAGGGTTCATTTGAGGCTTTACATTTGGGGGTTCAGGTTTAGGGTTTACTTGGGGCTTAGGCTTTATTGCGTTCTTGAAGGTTTGTAAGGTTTGTAGGGTTTAGGGCATATTTGGGGTTTGGGTTTGCAAGGTTTAGGGTGTTTACAGGGCCAAGATGAGGTTTATATAAAGTACGGTGTCCACATCATGGCGCTCATGGCGCTGATATAGCTGCAGCAAACCCTCAACCCGAAACACAACACCCTCAACCCTCAACCCCAAACCCTAAACCCCAAACCCCGAAACCCCAAACCCTAAACCCCAAACCCCGAAACCCTAAACCCTCCTAAACCCTCCTGAACCCTCCTAACCCCTACACCCTAAACCCTACAGGCAAGCTAAGGTTTTGGGGGCTCTTCGGTAGTCTCTGCCGATTGGACGCTTCGGTGCCGGCAGCCGCTTGTCCAGAAGTGCTCGGCAGGCCGGCACCTGCATCTCAGCATCTCTCTTTAGGGTTTAGGGTTTAGGGTTTAGGGTTTAGGGTTTAAGGTTTAGGGTTTATGGTTTAGGGTTTAGGGTTTAGGGTTTAGGGCTACTACCCCCCCCCCCCCCCCCCTGTCTATACTACTCCCCCTAGGTACCCCTCTTGAATAACCTCAATTAGGCTTCATTGTCCCTAATTAGCCTCAACTATGGGGGAACCTGAGGGGGGTAGTATAGAGGGGGGGAGTAGGGAAGCCATGAATCTCCCTCTTCTTCCAACTCCGCTAAGACTGAGTTGTGCTTTCAACCCTTTGAAAGCTTTTTATGGATACATTCCCGTAAAACGAAAGAAGGGACATCATCAACTATCCCAAAGCACAACCCAGAAGAGAACACGGGAACCACCGTGGATCTTGAAAACCAGCCTCAGCCTCAAACGAACCCCTAAAGTCCCCCAAAACTCTGAGAAAAGCCTGAAGCAAACCCAACAGCAAACCGAAAGACCCTTAAGCGCCCGAAAGCTCCTAGAAAGAAAGCCCCAGGACCTTAGAAGCCTACCCCTAAACCCTAAACCCTAAACCCTAAACCCTAAACCCTAAACCCCACACGGCCTCTGTCCCTGAGGGAACTGCGCCCGGCAGCCCTTGGCGCCCTGAGACGGCGGTCACGGAGGCCACCAGGGCAGCCTCGACCTCTGCCCAAGTGTTTAGGGTTTAGGGTTTAGGGTTTAGGGTTTAGGGTTTAGGGTTTAGGGTTTAGGGTTTAGGTTTTAGGGTTTAGGGTCCAGGGGGCTACAGAGTAGTTTAGGGTTTGGGGGCTTCGGGATCTTGGGGTTGATGGGCTACGACCCCTTGAAACCCTCCATCCTTGAAACCCTACACCCTAAACCCTAAACCCTAAACCCTAAACCCTAAACCCTAAACCCTAAACCCTAAACCCTAAACCCTAAAAGCCCCGGTTAGAAATTTTAGCATCAGCGTTTCAGCTCCCTGCCTCTGGGTGCGCTGCGACAACCGCCTCCATCATGGATTCAATCAGCGCCTCCTTCGGGGGGCAGTGGGTTGTGGTTTAGGGTTTAGGGTTTAGGGTTTGGGGTTTGGGGTTTGGGGTTTGGGGTTTAGGGTTTAGGGTTTAGGGTTTAGGGTTTGGGGTTTAGGGTTTGGGGTTTGGGGTTTGGGGTTTGGGGTTTGGGGTTTTGGGGTTTGGGGTTTGGGGTTTGGGGTTTGGGGTTTGGGGTTTTGGGGTTTAGGGTTTAGGGTCTAGTGTCCAGGTTTTTGGGGTTTTGGCTCCTGGATAGCGGAGGGTGCTTTTTGGAAGCGGTAGAGGTTCAGAGCCCTGTAGGGGTCGTGCCCCATAACCAAGGTAGATGCCCTTTGGGTTATAATGGTACAACTGCCGTTGGCAGATCGTGATTCCATTACGAAGTTGATGAGATCGTGATGTCGATGAAAAACGTATTCAAGATAATTAGTCTCGGTGTAGACGCCATTTTTTCATGAACCACTACTTCGGGACTGGAAATACAGTGATTTCTCGGTCAGAAAGAAACCCTAAGCCAAAACCCTAAACCCTAAACCCTCAACCCCAAACCCCAAACCCTGAACCCCCCCCCCCCCCCCCCCCCCCCCCCCCCCCCCCCCCCCCCCCCCCCCCCCCCCCCCCCCCCCCCCCCCCCCCCCCCCCCAAGCCAATCGTAACAGCTCACCCCCGACCTGCTCTTCCAGCGTTGCCAGCTGCTCTGCAAGTTGCTTCCGAAAGGCGTCCTGGGACAAGAAAACGTCCATGTGGGGTTTAGGGTTTAGGGTTTAGGGTTTAGGGTTTAGGGTTTAGGGTTTAGGGTTTAGGGTTTAGGGTTAGGGCTTCGGGCAGTTCTCGAAATTAGGGTCCCTTTTGGGGTCCTTTATCCTGAAAAGAAGCACCCCTTACAGGCACCCACAATTTAGAGAACTACCCAAACCCTAAGCTCTAATCCCTAAACCCTAAACCTTAAGCCCAAAAGGCCCACAGTCCACCCCCCCTCAGAAGGCGATCGACGCTTTCGACCCAGACCCCCGCTTTCGACCCAGACCCCAGGGCCTCCAGAGATCCTTTGCCGGCCTCGTGGGGCTTAAGCAAAGGTGGGGCTTTGCAGTGGAAGGGTGGAAGATTTGGGTTTAGGGTTTAGGGTTTAGGGTTCAGGGTTCAGGGTTCAGGGTTCAGGGTTCAGGGTTCAGGGTTCAGGGTTCAGGGTTAGGTGGTTGCTAGGGTTTTGTGGGATTCAGGGTGGGTAACTTAAGAAGTTCATTGGCCTTGTTCACTTCTCTTGGAGGTCGAGGGGTGGGGCTTTGGGCTTATCTTGAGAGAACCCTTCAACATGTCTTACATATCCCCAAACCCTAAGCCCTACACCCTAAAACCCCTAAAACCCTAAACCCTAAAACCTTGAACCCTAAACCCTAAAAACAAAACCCTAAACCCTAAAAAGCCTAAACCCCAAAGCCTAAACCCAAAACCCAAAACCCAAAACAAAGGAGAGGGAGCCTGGCTGCAATCCAGCACCACCGTCATGGGAGAGGCGGGACTGCTCCTGGACCCCCCACAAAGTCACCGCAGGTTACGGGTTAGGGGTTAGGGGTTTAGGGTTAAGGGTTTAGGATTTAGGGTTTGGGGTTTAGGTTGAGGGTTGAGAGGTTTAGGTTGGGGAATTCCTATTCCAGTCCCTTTTTTTCATGGACTGTTGGTATAGCCTAGTTGCTGAGTACCCTGGTCCATTGCTTTTTAAGGTTTAACCTTTGAATTATGGCTCAGCATTTAAGATAAGGTGGAGCATCCCAAGATGTGGGGTTCAGGGCTTGAGATTTAAGGCTTGGGGGTATAAGATCCTAGACCTGAGTCAGGTGATGCAAAAAACCCTGAACCCTAAACCCTAAACCCTAAACCCTAAACCCTAAACACTAAACCCTAAACCCTAAACCCTAAACCCTAAACAGTAAACCCTGGTGGGCAGGCGGCCTCCGAGCTGGGCGAAGCTTCTTGTGGCTTCTACTGTTTCGGGATGCCGAAAGTCAGTTGAGCATCTTCTTGCGAAGGTGCAAGAAATGTGCCTAAGGGTTTAGGGTTTGGGGTTTTCGGGTTTCGGAAGCTCCTGAAGGTTTAGGGTTTAGGGTTTAAGGGTATAGGAAGCACTGAGAACCCACTATTTTACGCACTTTAAGACCTGAAGCCAAAAACAAAAACGAAGCGAAGAGCTGAACCCGAATCCTGGGCGCCCTCGCATACCTGAACCCCCGACCTCAATCTGCGGGTGGAGAGTTGAGGGTTTAGGGTTTCAGGGCTGTAGGGTTTTTAGGGTTTAGGCCTTAAGGTTTTAGGGGGTTTAGGGTTCTTAAGGTTTAAGCCTTCCGTTTTCATGGGTTTCCTATGTGTGCGTGTATTTACTTGTTTGCTTTGCGCTCTCCCTCTCTCTCTACCCTAACCCCCAAACCCCAGTAAACCCTAACCCCTAAGCCCTGAGCCCTCAGCCCCAAGCCCTACTACGCCCTAAGGCCTAAGCCCTAAACCCACCCCAGGCGGGTCCCCAGCTGTGCCAATGCCGCACGAATGGCCGTGGAGGCCCCACTGCCTCTGGTTGGTATGGGGGCATTTGGGTTTGGGGTTTTGGGGTTTAGGGCTTAGGGTTTAGTTTTTAGGAGGGAGGGGGGGGGGGGGGGGGGGGGGGGGGGATCGGGGGGGATTCGGGTTTTGGGGTTCATTGTAGGCCGCGCTGGTGGATTTGGGATGCTTGCAGGTGTGTTTCAGTGATGTTTGAGATACTGCAGAGTTTGGGGGTTGAGGGATACTGCAGAGTTGCTGAGACAGGGAATTTAGGATTGCCCTAAACCCTCAACCTAAAACCCCAAACCTAAACCCTAAACTCCGTAGGCTGGGTAAGGCTTAGCTCACGGAGCCGCCAGAATCCCGGGGGGGGGGGGGGGGGGGGGGGGGCGGGGGGCGGCATCAGCAAACTGAGACAGAAGGAGTTTGTGTTGACCCTTCTAAGAACCTTCCCAAAAGTGCAGAAAACCCAATGAAGCTCTACATAAGCCCAACACCCCTGATCCTTTATTTTTCCAAGAGAGGGTATTCATGATTCTGAAACATGACCCTCTCAAACCAGAATGAGGAGAAATAACAAAATAATACCCCCACAGCCCATAGGCCTGTTGAGACACAGCCAACCTTAAACCCAACCCTAAGCACACCCTGAAGTCCAAGGAACCCGGAAAAACGCACAAATTCCCTAAACCCTAAATCCTAAATCCTAAACCCTAAACTGGCACCTCGTGCGCCCGACACGAGCAGCTGCTCCGGACCCTGGGATAAAAAGTCGCTGAGTCCGGCCGACAGGGCCTTACAGGGCAGGATTGGGGGTTCAAGCCTTAGGCGCTAAACCCTAAACCCTAAACCCTAAACCCCAAACCCTATAAACCCTAAACCCTGAACCCTAAACCCTAAACCCTAAACCGTTTAGGGTTTAGGGACAAGGATGGCTTAGGTCGGAGGACTCAGGGATTTAAGGTTCTGGGTTTCGGGTTCTTGGTTCCTAGATTAGCCTCGGACTCCGAAGACACGATGTCAGGATTCCGGACTTTAGGGCCTATAGGTTCGGGATTAACTGTAGGGTACGGGAAAGGTGAAGGTTGAGTATTTTGGGGTTAGGGTTTGTCTTTTGAGCGCGTGGGCATGGATGTGTAGTATTGCAGGGTTTGGAGGTCTTAGGGGTTTGGGGGGGTCAATGCGAACAACCCTCTTCTCGAGTAGTTCCTGACGTCCAGTGTTTTGGGATTGCTGAGCCTTTCTTTTTGTGCGGAGGGGGGGGGGGGGGGGTCCTCTTTTATAGGGACTTGAGACTTTTTTTGGATTCGGTGTTCAGGTTCTTCGTGGTGCACGCAAGTCCGTCACGCGCCTTCGATCGGAGAAATGGCCACCTTCCGAGGCGGAAGCGACAGGGGCCTAAACCCTAAACCCTGAACCCTAAACCCTAAACCCTAAACCCTGAACCCTAAACCCTAAACCCTACACCCTACACCCTAAACCCTCAACCCTAAACCCTAAATCCTAAACTTGGAGCTGGCCACATGCCTTTGCGGTTCCCAGAGCTTCCAATATCCCTTGAGTGATGCAGGTGCTCGAAATTTCCGGAAAGGCATCCTGCGATGATTTAGGGAAGATTGCTAACTAGTTAAGGAACTCCACCACGAGCTTCCTAAACCCTAAACACTAAACCCTAAACCCTAAACCCTAAACCCTAAACCCTAAACCCTAAACCCTAAACCTTTGCATGTTTGGGCATGCAATCTGCCCTGACCCTACACCCCATACTACCATAAGGCCTAAGCGACCTGTAACTTCCCAAAACCTGCCAAACCACACGAACCCCCTGAGCTCTAGGGTTTAGGGTTTAGGGTTTAGGGTTAGGGTTTAGGGTTTAGGGTTTAGGGTTTAGGGTTTAGGGTTTAGGGATATAAGCCCTCAACTACCCTGAGCCCTACAACTGCACTACAGACACTACTTGGAGGTTCATGGTACTTACTAACGAACTGGTAGTTGCACTTGTAACCCAATTTAAACCGCAAAAGGGTAATTAAGGGGCCTATAAGTGGGTTATAAAATGCAGTGATAATTGGTTACTAAGTACCACGAACCTCCAAGTAACCCTTTACACAGCAGGTCAGATACCTTAAGCCCCAAAACCTACCCAAAAGGGTTACAATCTCATGCCCGCCTGGGCATAGGAGCATCTTTGGCACCTGGTCGACTGCGAGCCATTTGCCTTAGGCCACTCGAGGTTCACCCCAAGCCCAAATGGAGCCCTAAACCCGAATTAAACCCTAATTAAGCCCAAACTAAACCCATAAACCCCAAACGGTTTCAGGTTCGGGCTTAGAGCGTACGGATGCAGGTTTTCTTTTGGGTACCCCCTTTGACATAAACAAGGCCACGATATCACATCGTTTTATCGGGTTGCGGGTTCAGGGTTCAGCGCCCCTTACTGCTGATGCATCTGATATCCCCCCAAAAAAGGACACCCAATACGACTTAAGGTTGTAGAATTTGGGGTTTACGGGAAATTTTGGTGTAAACCCTAAACCCTAAACCCTAAACCCTAAACCCTAAACCCTAAACCCTAAACCCTAAACCCTAAACCCTAAACCCTAAACCCTAAACCGGGTTTCGGTTTTTCGAAGCTCCAACCCTAGCCTCTGGCGCCCAAGGGGCTCGGAGGATGCTAGTGAACGGCAGCCCACCAGCTCCTCCAGTGGTTTGTTTAGGGTTTAGGGTTTAGGGTTTAGGGTTTAGGGTTTAGGGTTTAGGGCTTAGGGCTTAGGGCTTAGGGTTTAGGGTGTGGGGTTTGGGGTTTGGGGTTTGGGGTTTAGGGGCTCCTCCAGTGGTTTCTAGGGTTTGCAGGGCTTATCCGGGATTTATGGGAGCTATAGAGCTTTATCGGGCTTCTGGGATATTAGGTATTTAGGGTTTATAGGGCAAGGGTTTATAGGTTTCTAGGGTTCCTCGGGAATTCTAGGGTTCATAGAAGGAATTATAAGCTCATAGGATTTATATAGGGTTTATAGGGTTCATAGGGTTTATAGGGAATTATAGGGTTCATAGGGTTTGTAATGAGTTTTAGGGTTCATAGGGTGTATAGGGAATTGTCGGGAATCACAGGGTTTATAGGGTTGAGAGGGTTTATAGGTTTTCCAGCCTTTATACGGGTTGCAGGGAAGAGGGTGTTAAAGTATTAGGGTTCCAGGGTTTTGGGGTTCTAGGGTCTTAGGGTCTAGGGTTTTAGGGTTTGAAGGTTTGGGTTGTAGGGTGTTAGGGGTTTGGGGGTTTAGGATTTCAGGGTTTTAGGCGCCCTTTATGCATCACACAAAACAAACCTAATTATAAGATATGCATACATATATAGAACTCTAAATTCATGATTTACATAACGTTTCTCATGTTTCACTAGTTCAAAAACTTTGTGTGTTTGAATTAGGTTAGAACAAGACGACTAAACATTACAAGCTCAAGAAAAGCCGTCTTCTGTTGTTTGCCACGCGACCAGGACACATGGTAGTGCTGAAGGCTAATGCCAGGAACACCGAGCGGAAGCAAGTGGCGAAAATACGGAAAAGGCCGCCACAACGCTCGAGCCCTAAACCCTAAACCCTAAACCCTAAACCCTAAACCCTAAACCCTAAACCCTAAACCCTGAACCCTGAACCCTGAACCCTAAACCCAAAGCGGGTTCTCCAACCCCCAGTCAGCCCTCGGGCAAGAGCCACCAGGCTGACCAGGGCAGCACAGGCGGCCAGCAGGTTGCTTTCTTTTTGCACCTTGGGATCCTCCTCGAACCCTAAACCCTAAACCCTAAACCCTAAACCCTAAACCCTAAACCCTAAACCTTAAACCCTAAACCCTAAACCCTAAACCCCTCTGGTGCGTTGGGGACGACATGAAAACCATCGTCGAACACGGCAGTCCACAAAAGAGCCAGCCCTTCGACACCAGCTGGAGCGCGAAGGGAACCGCCTTGGCGAACCCCTTCGGGGTCCGCATGTCGTGGTAGTCGTCCCCAGTCCCAGTGTGGGTTCGGTGCACATCATACGTCAACGACTTCTCACCATGTACTTTAACATAACTCTAATGGGGGGTACTTGACATTAGGGGTATGGGGGCAGGGGGGTTTTTAACCCTAAACCCCAAACCCTAAACCCTAAACCCTAACTCTAAACCCTTAAGCCTATAACTTGTATATAGGGGATTAACCCTCAACCCTCAACCTCGGGATTTCAGTTCGGGGTTCGGGGCTTTGGACACAATGTCGAGCAGGGACGAGGGCCAAGGGTTCAGGGTTTAGGGGTTTAGGGTTTAGGGTTCAGGGCCTAGAGGGTTAGACGCCAGAGGTATAGAGGCTTGGTTTAGGTTGTCTAGGTTCCCCAAAAACCCAAACCTCTATGACTACTGGCTGGTTCTTAGTCAGGAATGAGGGAATGAGGTGCCCCAAATACTCCCTTAAAGGGTATATATGGGGCCCTACTTCCCTCATTTCCGACTAAGAAGCAGGAGGACTATCCATCATTCGCTATACCTTTGGGGCCAGTGGGCCTTTCTCACGGCGCGCGAACTCTGCGCGCTGCCGCGAAGCCATGCTATCCGAGACATGGCTTGAGTTTGGGGTTGAAGAATTAGCAGAACTACCCCCTTAGGATGCCCACTACGGGCGGGTCTTTCTCTCTATTGCCTGAAAGAGCTCTATTGGGGGGATATAAGGTACCACCTTACCGAAGTCCCTAGCAAGAAGTACACCGAAACCTTAAACCATGCGATCGTATGTGCGTTCAGACCCCTGAGAGACAACAGCTGTCCCTGTAGGGTTTAGGTTAATATGTTCCCCCTTATACTAACAGTCCTTAACAGGGATTGTGGTACCCCTATCTATGAGAAACCCTATTCAGGCCTGCGAGAAACCCTAAACCCTAAACCCTAAACCCTAAACCCTAAACCCTAAACCCTAAACCCGAAGCAGGTTTAGGGTTTATGCGATTGGTGCCTTCTGACATGTGCTTTCGTTTGCCACGAGCCATCAGCAGCTGAACGATGGCCGGGACGGTGCTCTGGAGGCTTTTAGGGTTCGGGTTTAGGGTTAGGGTTTAGGGTTTAGGGTTTAGGGTTTAGGGTTTAGGGTTTAGGGTTTAGGGCTTAGGGTTTAGGGTTTAGGGTTTAGGGTTTAGGGTTTAGGGTTTAGGGTTTAGGGTTTAGGCTTTAGGGTTTAGGGTCCGACCCTGGCGGCGTGTTGGGGAAAAGGAGGTGAAAACCTCCTCTATCCCTCCTTGCCCCCCCAAAAAGCGGGGGGGGGGGGGGGGGGGGGGGGGGGGGGGGGGTAGGGGGGGTCGGTGCACAATTTTTTCGTGGAGGACCGCGCCACCCGCAAAGCGTAAACAGGCGGTTCAGCACAGGGGGGTAGGGGCGCCCTCAGCAAAATCAGCGTTTTCGGCCCCCACACCCCACCCCCACCCACCGCTTGAGCTTGTCCTGGTGCTCCCCCCTACCCCCCCCCCAAACGTTTCACAGAACTCTGCCGAGCAGGCTGGGATGATCTTCGAACCATGCGAGCGGGTTTAGACCTCTCAACTATGCTCCAGCGGGGTCGGCGGCTTGAGCCGGAGGCTCTTAAATTTAGGGTTTAGGGTTTAGGGTTTCGGGTTTAGGGTTTCGGGTTTCGGGTTTCGGGTTCTTTGCCATACCCCCAGCCCAGAAAACGACACATGGTTAGGTCTTAGGCCTATTTTGGGGGGGGATCTACATGCCTGGATCTTCCAACTTCAAATACCCCGCACCCTAATTTCGAAGACAAGGATCCTACTATGACTTGGGAACCTCATTAACCCCAAACCCTAAACCACACGGGATTTTGGAAGATCTAGGGAACTAACACAACCCTACCAGGTCAAGGCTTAAAGGCACTGCCTTAGACTTTACGTCTTGCCCCCCCCCCAAGTACCGTCGAAGACACCCTGAGCCCCCCCCCCCCTCAGGATTCACGATTTAGGGTTGAGGTGTTGATAAGTAACTTCAGTTACACTTACCCTCCGAAAACAGGGGTACCCTTTTTCGGTGTCCCTTTAAGGAGTTCTGCGGGTATAAAAGGGGTACCCCTATTTTGGGCGATTGGAATACCCATGTGATGGCACGACTCCTTATCGCAGAATATGGACCACCCAAAAGGCCCCGAAAACAGAATGACATCCACGCATTCCCAAAAGTAGGATGTCCCTGGAACCCACCCAAAGTACCCACAACAGGGCTCTCGAATCCCAAGTCCTAAGCCCCGGGCCCTAAACCCTAAACCCTAAACCCTAAAACCAAACCCCTGAAGCCTAAACCGCCTAAACCCTAAACCCTAAAACTCTAAACCCGAAACCCTAAACTCAAACCCCAAACCCCAAAAGACTCCGCCGGCGTGCCTGGCCACCGTCAGCGTCTCGAGGCCGAGGCCCTCAATGCAGCGTCTCTGCAGCCGGGCGGCGCAATCCTGCTGCGAGGGTTTAGGGGGTTTAGGGTTTGGGGGGTTTAGGGTTTAGGGTTTAGGGTTTAGGAGGTACAGGGTTTAGGGTGTAGGGTACAGGGTTTAGGGTTTAAAGTTAGCGTTTTGGGTTTAGGGGGTTGCACGGTTTGAGTTTAGGGTTCGGGGTTTACGTTTAGGGCTTAACTAGGGTGCGCTAGGGTTTGCAGGGGTTTAAGCAGGGAGTTGAAAGATTCAGGGTTTAGGGACAACTATGGGTTGAGGGCTACAAGAAACCCTAGAACAGCCTTAAACCTCAAAACAGCCCCAAGTCCCCCAACCCATACTCAAACCTTGCGCGAACCGAAGTGCATAGGTCTTGAGTCTTATAGCTGTGTGTAGGGTTCAGGGTTCAGGTTTAAGGCCTGGTAAGGTGACTGGCAAAAAAAAGGCACGCGCCCTCCGCACCCTAACAGAGTGCCTGAACACGAAATCAACCATATAGAGCACAAGCCCAAACCCCGCCCACATCCTCTTACTACGCTCTAAAAGGGAACCCCGAAACCCGAGAGCCCTAAAGCCCATAAAGTCTAGGGCTTGGGTAGACCCACATGTGGCCCCTAGTAAAGGCCTAAGCGTACCTTAATGGAATCTCAAAGGGCGCTGAAGGGTCTAGGAGGAACCAACGACCTGCCCTTACAACGGCATAAGGGTTACTCGAGGGTAAGCCCTGCGAATTGAAGCCTATCAACCCTAAACCCTAAAGAACCCGAACCCGAAGCCCTAAAGTTTAGGCCTAAACCCTAAACCCTAACCCTATAAACCTTAAACCCTAAACCCTAAACTCTAAACCCTAACCCTAAAAACCCTAAACCCTAAACCTGCAATATGCTGGGTTCGACCCTGGGTCCTGGACCACGGCAGGCATGGCAGGACGAGTCCCCGCCCAGCCGCCGACCTCAGCAAAGGTGCTCCACGAATCATCGGCGTTTGGGGTTTAGGGTTTAGGGTTGGGTTCGGCCGGCCCACACTAACAGTCAAATAACGCCGTGGCCTTATAACACACAGGCCAAAAATAGCACCAGGAATCCCAGTCAATTTTAGCATTTACCGGGTGCTTATTTTTGTGGGTCTGCTGGTGGTGACTGTTAGTCACATAGCAGCAGAAATAGCACCAGAAATAGCACAAACAATAGCACAAAAAATAGCACCAGAAATAGCGCCAGGAATAGCACAAAAAATAGCGCCAGAAATAGCACAAACAATAGCACCAGAAATAGCACCAGGAATCCCAGTCAATGTTATCAGCTTAGCATTTACCGGGTGCTGTTTTTTTATGGGTCTGCTGATGGCGATTGTTAGTCACATAGCACCAGCAACAGCACCAGAAATAGCACCAGAAATAGCACAAACAATAGCACAAAAAATAGCACCAGAAATAGCACAAACAATAGCACAAAAAATAGCACCAGAAATAGCACCAGGAATAGCACAAAACAATGCACCAGAAATAGCACCAGAAATAGCACCAGGAATAGCACCAGGAATAGCACCAGGAATAGCAGGAATCTCAGTCAGTTTTTTGGCATTTACCGGGTGCTTTTATTTGTGGGTCTGCTGGTGGTGACTGTTAGTGTGGACCGGCCGAACCCAAGTTTAGGGTTTAGGGTTTAGGGTTTAGGGTTTAGGGTTTAGGGTTTAGGGTTTAGGGTTCGGGCTTAAGGCTTGTGAGGTTTAGGGGTGTATGGGGGTTTAAGGTTTACCCAAATTTCGCGGTCTTCGGGTAGTTTTGGATTTCGGGCTTAGGGGTTGTGAGGGTTCCGGGCATGACGTCGGCCAACTTTAACTTCGGGAGGGGGGGGGAGGGTTAGGGTTTAGGGCTGAGTGTGAGGGGGAAGGGGGAAGGGAGGGGGGGGGAAGGAGCTGGAAGTCACCATTTCCAGTGCGAAAGGCGGCAATGACAAAAATCTCCCCCGTACCCCCCGCAAAACCCACGAGCCAAACTCTAAAGACTGCGATAGCAAAGCAAGGCCGGCAAGGCAACAAATCCACCCTAAACCCTAAACCCTAAACCCTAAACCTTATAAACCCTAAACCCTAAACCCAAAAACCTAAACCCTAAACCCATTTAAACCTTACCGGCCCTACCGGCCCCGATCCGCGGACTCCTGAACCCCCAAAGAGTCGCAGGGCGCCAGGCATCGTCGGCGGAGATGGGCACTGGGCCTTTTACCAGAAAAACCCCTTGGGGTTTAGGGTTTTGGGTGGTTTAGGGTTTAGGGTTTAGGGTTTAGGGTTTAGGGTTTAGGGTTTAGGGTTTACTGGGGTATCACATAATCTCAACGATAGGAAATTTTCCCAGAAGGTATCCCTGGCTTAGGAAAAGCCCCCCATAAGGTTGAGGGTTTAAGGTCGACTGTTCAAGGTGGCCTGGAAGCCCCAAACCCTTGAACCCGAAACCGTAGTTGACTTCCCAAGAGCACGCAGGGCGAACCCTGCGCACTGAGTGTCCCCGAAGTTTCGGATCATGGCCACTCTAAGGAAACCTTGCCTAAACCCGATAAACCCTAAAACCTAAACCCTAAAACCTAAAACCTAAACCCTTCTATGACTCTAAGAAGCCATAGACTTCAGGGAACCACAAATTACGAGACCGAAGTCCCGAGCCCTTATAGGGTTTAGGGTTTAGGGTTCAGGGTTTAGGGTTTAGGGTGTAGGGTTAGAGTTTTTGGGTTTTATGGGGTTTCTGAGTTTGTAGGGTTATAGGGTTTTGGTGGTCTGTAGGGTGTATGTGGTTTATAGGCATAGGGCTTGTATGGCTTATAAGGTTCAGGGTTTTGTGGCCAGAAAGCCTGATAGTCTCTCTGCTTTCTGCTGGCTCGCGAATGGCCATTGTGCTCGGTTTGTGAGAATAGGGTTTCGGGTTTAGGGTTTAGAGTTTGAGCGCATAGGGGATCTAGAGTGCATAGGTATATATGAGATTCCGCCCGCAACTAGTGGTCAGTTTGCTTGCCTCCTTGTCGTAAATGCCCGCCATTCAATACAACAACTTAACCCCAATTAAGCCCCAAAACCGTTAAACCCCGGACCTTAAGACTCTCAGTTGCCCCGAAAGCCCCCCAGTGCTACACAGCGGCCCTCACGGGTCCTATGAAAAAAA